CTCTCTTTATCACTTCCAGGGATCAGCAATTGCTCAACGCCAGTCGCTCCGTAATGCATCCACGCTGGTATCTCTTCAGAGCACGGCTATGAGCAAATGCATAATGCACAAGGAGAAAATACAAGGAAAAGGGACGTGTTTTGCAGCATTTTAAGTGAATTGTATTTGTTTTCTTTGTAGTCACAGTATGTATTTAGGTATTCAGAAAGTTGATTATCAGATATTCAATACAAACTAGTCTCACAACTGATTTGAGAAGGTATCAATAATGAAAGATAAAATGAGATTCAATATAATTATGGAAAATGCATTTATTGTGTTAATATTTGCTTTTTTTGTACAAAGCTCTCAATCATATTGTCACTTGTTTTAACCATTGTGGTATCAGAATCTGTTTTGAGTATTTTGTCACATCTGAATATTGTTTAGTTTTGTTTTTTTCTTGTATCAAAGTTTAAATTTTGTAGTTTTTTTGTAGGATGTATGTATGCTTAATAAAATATTGAAAGTTAGTGAAAAGTATTTTCACTTTTCTTTCTTTCAAGCTCAAGAGGCTGAGAGGCTTGATAAGAGCGTTGAGTAGAGCTGCTGTTCCTCTATGTCAATACTGCAACATTTGAACATACTGGGATAGATGTTCAGCTTTTGTGTTTTGAAAAGACTTTTAATCGGGTAAATTCAATGAATTCTCATAAAACATGAGTTTGCTTTAAAGTTGCAATACATATCTCTTAGTAATAACTGCCCCGAAGATGCATTCAATTTAATGTCTTTCCATCATGGACTTTATGTAGTATTAAAAGTATTCTAGTCATGTTCTTAAATATGTCTCTGTGGTATGATTACTTTATAATGAAACATCTGCTACTGTCTGAAGACTGGCACACAAGAAAAAAATGTTCCCATTACATCTAACCAGATAGTTTTTGATTTACAACAATTAAATTATGACATTTCCAAAAGGCTGAAGGCATAAACAATGTCTACCAAAGTACAAATGCATTTTCAGCAGCAATAACCTTGAGAATATGCTCTATACTAAGATGTGCATTAAACACACCAGGTTCAATTTGAGTATAGTGACTTGCAGAGGATTTGCCAATTATGAAAAGTGGGATAGTGAAAAACATTTAAACCTCCCTGTGATGTATGGTTCATAAGCATAGCTGCAGCTCTTTAATTGGTTGAATCCTCTCCGGGCAGACAGCACACTGTACCCCCAGGCTCAGATAAAAGACTTCTAAACTCTCTTTTGTGAAGCGAGGAGATGAAAGGCCACTGAAGACAAGAGCTTGTCAGGAAGAAAGCAGGTCCCAGCAGCGCATGAGGAAAGCAGGTGTAGCGGACCAGAAGAACCACAGGTTATCAGCGGCTCGCGGCTTCAACAATGAGACGCTTCCAATGCACTCATAATAATGTCTTCTTCTTCCCTCAGCTCACAGCCAATCACACTGAACATGGCCCACGCAGGAGAGCTTGTTTACAAATAATGGCGCGTCGACTCCAGTGAGGCGTGTACAACTGATGGGTGTTGTTTGTCTGGGCGTATTGGAGCTAAATGTTGCCTGAATGTTTATTGTGATAAACCCCCCCCCCCCCCCCCAAAAAAAAAACAACATGTTTTTAAATTTTCTTTAACATCTCTTAACTTGAAATGGGTTCAAGTTAAGAGATGTCTAAATCAAGTCCTGCACAAAAATCAGCAAAGATTTGTGGGGATCTGCATTACTCTTATCTGGGCAGAATTGTATAACAAAGTATGAAAGAAAGTGGATAATGTGGTTGTTTCCTTGAACAAGACACTTTCCTTACAGCTAGTTTCTGTGTACACCGTGTTTAACTTGTGTCAGAATGGGTGAGCAGTTCCTTGATGTGCCCAATACAAGTGTAACCTTTAACATTAAATGTCCATATACCCATATAAAGTGTGTGTTCCTCTGCTAGTGCCTCTTAGCCTGGTCATGTTTATAAATGAGAATTAGACATGTAAATTTCTGCTCATATATTTTATGTGGTAAAATAAATGCCAAGCATATTTTAAATTGCATAATTTAGCACTTTGTATTGACAATACTTTGGAGCGTGTGAATTTATTAACTCCAAATAATTACATGACATTAAATTAAAAGCAACACCTGCAGTGAAAGCCTTACACAAACCCTCCACCAAGTCCTCAGACATTTAAGAATGAATCTTTGAAGAGCTCTTGAACTAAATTAATTCCTTCTTGTTTGTAGATTAAAGACACTTAATCTAGAACAACTTTCTGCAAAGGGTTGTTACTTTGTGTGTATCTGGCATCGTCTCTTGCAAATATTTTGACAACTTTTTCTTTGTTGAAAATAGGTTTCACAGGGTGCACATGTCAGAAATACTCACACAGTTTGACTTAAAATTGTCTGAAAACTCAGGTGTAAACCAGAACAAAATTTTTCACATAATAAAATTGTAAAATAGAAGATATTGATATTGTAATATATAAGATATTATCTTACATTGTAAAATGTAAGATATGGATATTGTAAAATATAAGATATTATCTTACACTGTAAAATTTTAGATATTGATATTGTAAAATGTAAGATATTATAAGATAAAATGTAAGATACTGATATTATTGATATTTTAAAAAAAAAAAAAATTATTTGAAGAGCTCTTGAATCTGCTGGTCAAAATAACTCTCTTTCATCTTTGCTTTGACTAATATACAGTACAATAATTATTTTTGCCTTTGTAAAATTCAAGGTTCATATAAAATCAAACATGAATGTGCATGCATTGACAAGAGATAGTAAATATACTATGTATTTTAACATGTTTCTAACATGTTAAACAAGTTCATACATTTAGCTTAGTATCAAATATAATTTGGTTCAGCAACTAAAATCACATTAGCAGTCTCATAAAGATGCATAAGAATCCCATTATTATTCAATCATTTTGAATAGTCTTTGTCACCTAAATTAGACTTTAATACTGAGACAGAATAACTGTTCTTTTCCACACGTATCTTTTGATGAATGCATTTCTATTAACACCATTTTGTCTATTACCATTTCTCATATTACTTAAATAGAATCATATTTCAAATCCAGGGATCTTTTTAGGATCTCCATTGTTCAATATTATGACTTTCTTTTCTTCGGCAAACTCTATAACAAAGTGTGTAACTGATGCCAGGCATAATTCTCTTCTTCTTGACGTCTACGGTTGGCCATGTTGTGATAAGGTCAGTACAGGAGCCTGCTCTTGTCAAATCTCTGTCATATAGTCCCTTTCACTGCGCTCATAACTCTCCTCCGTATCAGTCTTCATTACAGGAACCTTGAATAGTTGTCAGAAATAATATCCATTCCAGATACTACAATTATGACAGTATTATAGATGGGACTTTGAGACTGCTGTGCCATTGTTAAAATTTGATTAAGTAGATACTGTGGAGAGCTACTTGAATTATCAACGAAATGTTTTAAATTGGTCAATTTTGGTGCTATTATTCATATAAGAATGTGAAGGATATTTGAAAGAATGTAATTAAACATCCATTCTTTTACCTATATGTTTCAATTGTTGGTTTCTGGTGAGATTTTATATAAAACCATTTTCTGCCTTAAATTAACTGTCTGATATGCCCTATCTCTCCAGCAGCGATCTTATCATTCATCCTTTCTACTTAAAGATAGGTCAGAGCAACAGCATATGATGTTAAAAGCATTTGAAGTTGGCATCCGTATCAAAACGTGACATTTCCCATGCTGTTTTTTTCCACAATATATCTGAGCATTACCAAAGTGCTGGTGTTTGTTGTTGTTACAGAAAAAAAAAAAAAAAAAAAAATCAAAGTCCGAGGAATATTTTGTGCATGAATGTTGACTGATTGGAGCAAAAGGAGGTATTTATCGTTCATTCTGCAGCAGAGTGTCCATTCATCTGAAAGGGAATTAGTTATCACCAGTCTACAGGGAGCCATTACGCGCTATTGTTTCAGAGAATAGCAGACCCCGGGCAGTGTGGTGTGTGCTGGACGAGGATGATCAGAGAAAGGAGACATGTGAAGGCCGGCAGTGAATGAGCTGCAATAAGAGGTTTCATCTGTCCATTCTGATGCATAAATACAACCCCATGCCTGAGACCAGCTATTATACTGCACTGAAGACTGCAAGTGTTCACCACTTGCACGCATATGGTCAGTATACTCAAAAAGAACCACTGCTTGCACAGTATTATTGTTGGCAATAAATAATTCCTAATTAGTGATAGGCATGATCAATACCAAACTACTGATAAATCAACAGAGATACTGAAATATATAAATTCAATTTGTTTGGTTTTTGTTTTGTTTTGTTTAGTTTTTTATAAGACTGGGGCAAACCAAAGAGGATGAAAGTCTTTATATATGCCAAGGTAAAATTATGAATTTCAGTTCATTTAATACAAATCTTATTGTATCAGTGGTTTTGTCCATCACTATTATACACATGTTCTGTAACTGCCCTGGAGGAGGTTTGCACTGTATATGAATTTACTGTAAAACTAACCACAAAAATGCAGATATTTGGTTATGGGTCCTATATTCGTAATTGAACTACACTGCAAGTTTTAATCAGATTTAATCAGAGCAGATTTTTGAGCAGTGGATTGCCTACAGTAGTAGACTATATACGTAATTATCTAAATTTGCATATCTGATAAAATACATACATTGGTACCAATTGAAAATTACCTACTGCCCACCCAAAATGATTAAACACAATACACTTCTCACTCTGCCATGTTTTTAAGAGAATTGTAAATTTCTTTCAATTAATTTAAGCCTACTTACATAAACAATCTTCACAGAAAATAGCTAGAGACATACAGAAATATATTTTTTTCACCTGAGCATTTTCCAATTATGTTTTTTATTTTTTTATGAAGGACACAGTATGTTTGCAGGAGAGAGAAGCTTGTTATCAAAATGTAGCGCATGCGCAGTCGATATATTTTCTAGCCTGAGAAGCTACCGAGCTGCTAGTCAGATGTAAGCTAGCTCTGATATAAATAAGACAAAGAAACCCTGTGAAGAGACTGCTTGAAAACGACTTTAAAGTTGCGTAGAGAGAAATCAGCGGCTGTGGTACAAAGCTGCATGTTTTAGTCGATATATTTGGAAGAATGGATTTGAAAGGTACGCCGCCACCATATCTTTTTAAACTTTTTGTAAGCAAGCAGTGCACAGATTAGCTTCGGCTAGCAGGGGTAGTTTGCGTTAGCCTGGGCTGCTAGCATCCTGTTACATGGATCATAGGAGGCCCTTTGTTTCTCACCGGGTAATGTCATGTCTACACCGCAGCTGACTGACTTAACATTTGTCAATACCCGAATAGTTTACAGAGCCATATATGTATTTTTTGAGTAATCGTAGTATGTTTTATAATGTAAGAGGCGATTTCTGCATGGGATGCTCTGGGCTAGCCGCTTCATGTTAGCAGGTTTGCGGTTTAACGCTACAGAAGTTGACATTAATCTTTCAGATATGATCCAACATGCTAGTTTTGCGTATTTCATAGCCTGAATATTTTAGTTACTTTCCAAAAATGATTAGATTTCATTAAAGTTGCATTCCAATTGACAGTCGAAGTGAAAATATGTTAATGTGGCATTGACAGTAGTTCTGGATAGTATTGTTGACACATCAGTGGAGCGTGATACGTGGACAATTTTTATGTTTTCTGTATCATTGATACCATTTAAAGTGTTACTAGAATATTCACTATGCCAGAGTTTCCTCTAACTGTGGGCCAGGACCTTAGGGTGGGTCTGGCAATTCGTGTGAGATCTTTGAGATGTTCAGAAACAGTTTATATCGCCTATGATCATATATTTACAATAACAAAAAGTGTATCAGAAGATAACTACATAATTCTGCAAACTCATTAGATTCGTCTCCAAAATAAAATTGAGTTTTGAAGCACAGGCCATACAAAAGGCAGCACATCTGGGCAAGCATGTAATTGTTAGTCTCCTTGCTTATCTAATTTTCTTTCCTCCCTTAATACATTCAACTTAAGATAATATTATACAATAAAAGTGAATGCAGTGTAAAATACAAATTACCTCATTTGGCTCTAAAGCAAACAATTAGGCTAATCATGCAACAATACAAACAACACACTTCTTTGGGAAAAAAATGAAATACCAATTTGTTATTTTACCTTATAAAATTATAAATTCGCAAGAATCTATGAAGCCAATTCTCAAACTCTAACACATTTTTTTTTCTTTTTAGAATGAAATCTGAAGATGGCGCTATGAAGGATGCTGTGGTAACTTAGATTATTACCACCTTAACTGTATTTTCTAACTATTCAAAAGGTGATTACTAAGATATTATTTCCCTGGGTGATTATCTTGTTTCATTTGGCTGCTAGAGGTGGTCCAATGTAAGTTGTGCTCCGAATGGCTATAGTAGTTTAGTATTAATAGTGGTTAGTTAGCCTGGAGCTGTACATTCTTGCCTGAAACCAAGTTTGAATGGGCTGACTGAATAATTTATGTTTTAAGAAAGACTTGGTATGGTGGCTTATTGTCGAGATTTCCATAAAAGCAGCTAAGCAGGTGGTTTGCTATCATTTCATTAGATCTAGCTGCAAATAATCTCAAAGTAAAATAAAGTAAACGTCTGTATTGACCTGGCAATGGAACACTCCCACAGCTCTGCTCTTTGTCTGTTTATTTATAATATAATTCAAGCAGTTTATGAATTGTAAATGTCTCGGGCACTAGTGGTTAAATACAGTAACTAGGCTGCCTTTGTTTAGTCAGTTTACAAGTTGCTATGTTGAGAAATCCCCATGTGTATTTTTATTAACTTTTCATGACTGGAAAATATTTGCATTTGAATAATTGAAATAAAAGGCTGTGGGCGTACTACTCAGGCAGTACAAAGATGCAGAGTCACATTTAAAGTGTATTACTCACTTTACCCAACTAGTAATTACTTTCCAACTTGGGTAAATTGGAGATGTTTTTGGCTAGACACTTTTTCTTAGACTTCACTTCAAAGTCAGTCAAGGAGAATAAAATGTTTTAGTTAGAACAGCTTCCCACAGCCAGTCTGCACTGGCAACAATCAGTGAAACTGCGAGGAGCAATGCCAGAAAGCTGTTTTGGATTGCTCAACTGTCAGTAAAACATTTTTGTACAATCTTGTGTTTGAGAGTGTCTGTGCAAATTGAAAGACAGCCTCTCATTCCAGTTGAAGTTTCTGATTAGCACATTGCCACATCTGTTATGGCCTGTGCAAGAACTACCTGTTCTTACAGATTTGCTTTAAATGCCACACACCAGTGAGTGATTTGTGGCATTGAACATTCTTGTGGTTGTTTTCCTTTTCCAAACTAATTTCAGTTTTCTCAGTGGTGTAGACCAGTTTTGCTCATGATTTGCAATGTGCCTGACTGTTTAACATCGGAAACCATTGTAAAACAAAATCATTCTCAGACTTATCCGCAAAGTTGTGACTCATTTAAGGCCTATGTAAATGTGGGTGTTCCTGTTTACATTGTGTTCATTTAGGCATTAAGCTACAGTTGTAGTTGCTGCCTCTGCTTGTTAATGCTGATACCAGTGTTTATTTGTGGGATTTTAAACATGTCATGTCTTTGTTTTCTCGTGTGATTCTTAGAGCTTTGAGGACGAGAGTGCTAGACTTAAGGCGGTGATGTCACGGGTTCCCACCCCTCCCCCTCCAGGGGAGATGTCCAGTGGACCTGTGGCAGAGAGCTGGTGTTACACACAGGTATGGACATGCTCACGATGTTTAGCCTGACTTAATTATATCCACATACATGGTTCAAATGCTGTCTTGTTTTGACACAAGGTCAAAGTGGTAAAATTTTCCTACATGTGGACCATAAACAACTTCAGTTTTTGTCGAGAAGAAATGGGTGAAGTTTTGAAAAGCTCTACTTTCTCGTCTGGGCCCAATGACAAGATGAAATGGTATGTTCCGTTAAAATGGTGCCAGGCACAGTTGTGTTTATTTTTCCACAATAATACAAAAAATTACTTTTCTTTAACTGTAATTATGGTATTAATGAAATCACATGTATTGTCAACAGTGTCGAAAGCACAGCTGTGCTAGTTATGTCAGTCAGGTTTATCCTTGTCAGTACAAATGACAGTTTGGGTGGAAGTGCATAACTACAGTAATCTGGCATCAATACAACATCTGATTAAACTGCACTATTATTAAACTCAAGTCAACAAGGTGCAGAACAACACTCAAGTCACATGACCACACCAAAATGTCACCAGGATTAGAAGAGTAGTTTGATGTTAAGACAATAACCATTGTTTACATATTTTTGAACGCAGAAATATTTGCACCCTAACTATGTTTATAGCAGTCTCCCAAAATATAAGACTTGCGCATTCTGAATTGTGTTAATTCATTTTTTTCTTTCACTTTCCAGGTGTTTGCGAGTCAATCCAAAGGGACTTGATGATGAAAGCAAAGACTATCTGTCATTGTATTTACTTCTTGTTAGTTGTCCAAAAAGTGAAGTTAGAGCAAAATTCAAATTTTCTTTGTTGAACGCTAAAAGAGAAGAGACTAAAGCGATGGGTGAGTTTGCACAAGCCTCTGGTGTCTGTTTTTTAACTTTCAAATCACAACTTGTCATGTTTTCATGTCTTAACAGAAAGCCAAAGAGCATATAGATTTGTCCAAGGCAAAGACTGGGGGTTTAAAAAGTTCATTCGAAGAGATTTTCTTCTTGATGAAGCCAATGGACTCTTGCCAGACGACAAACTTACGCTGTTCTGTGAGGTAAGACTGGCGACTTTTGAGAGTGGTTGCATTTTTAAATTGTTACAAATAAAACCATAATAAAAATAAATAATAAACACATATAATTATTAATAACAATATAATATTTATCATATTATTAATATGTCTTTATTGGAATATATAATAAGGGTGGTGGTAATTATGATGCTTTAAATACTTAAATGCACCTACCAATCTATGGTACTTGTGTCATTGTACATGTAGTTCTCTATGGAGTCTTTGGCAGATTTCAGATCAAGTGTATACACACTTTCTCTTCATTTGTTTTTGTTGATAACATCTGAAGCAAGGGTGTACTCCTATTTTTAAACCTGGTTTAGCCCTAGTTTAGACCTGGTAGCCCTGGTACAGACCTGGTTTAGATCCAGTGGTACTTGGAAAGCTAAATAGGTTTAATAAAGTTTCTTGAAAACGCATTTGGTCATTATGTGAAAATAACCAATGCATTTTAGTGTATTGCTTTTTGCAAATCCTTTTATTGTTTTCACATGTGGATATTGTAACTTGTTACTGGTATCTTTTTATGAATTTTATGAATTTGTATTTACTTTACTTACATGTTGCCATCATAGTAGGTACAATGAATGAATAAGCTAGCCACTAGTGTTTCTGGCATTTTGGAACACACAGCAAATTTAATTTTTATGTCCAAATCTCAAAAACCAAACTACAAACTTGAGTGAGTCCTTGTGAAAGTATTGATTTTGAAATGAAGCAGGTCAAATTGCTGATGCCTCTGTTGTGTGGGAGTTTCTTGGCCATAACTAACTTGTTGGAGAGCTTGCACGTCGTTTCCTGAATCAAATCTCAATGCGCTTGTTATGAACTGCGTCTTTGGCAGTACAACTTGAATGGTATCATTTAACTCCAAATATTGATGGCATTTCCTCCCAATTACATTTTACACTGCAAGGTTGGATCACTGCTTGTTCCAAATGAATTGAATTTAGTGTCAGGAAGAATGAATGTTTTGTAGAGTGTCTACTTCAGAGACAAGTTAAATGAAGTGTCAATGAATTTTGTGTAAATGAGATCCCAAATAGACGGTGCCTGGGTGAGATTGAGCCGACAGATGATCCGAACAGATTTTGCAATTCTAGGTAAATTGCCACTTTGATCGGCAAATTACATTCAAATTAAACCCGTAATGCCATTTTCTATCAATTAGGTGTTGTAACTAACAATTAATTTACTTGAAGCAGTTTTCATTGTTTTGTTGGTATTCTCAGCAGCACCATAAATGGTCCACAAATGGTGCTTGGTTGCAAATTGGTGTTCATATTTTTTAGACACTTACAGTGGGTGTACTGTGTTACCATGTTTCATTCGTTCTTACATAATTGTATTAAAGTCAGGTTTTCCCTCAGTGAATCAGTCTGAGATGGAATGGTTGTCATTAATATCAAAGTAGTATCACTTTCAAAACCAAATTGAAATTTCATGAGGGACAATGGTACGAGTGTACATTACCTTTAATGATTGAAGTCCTATAGATCTCTCTTGATTATTTGTAAGATATAGCAAAAATATAGCTGTTATTTTTAAAAATGCCACTATAGAAGACAAAAAAATTGGGATCTTTTTACATTGATCAATACAAGAAAAATCTATAGTTATTTGAAACAATAGTTTGAATTCAATAAACAATCTGTTAATTCCTAGTATTTTTAAAGTGCCTGTAACTGATTTCAGACCATGAGTTAAGAACATCTTTTCTTTTGAACATTTAGCCCTGCCCACTGGGATAGCGGCCTGCCGTTAGTTGCCATGATTCCTAGTTATAGAAACTTGGATAGCACTTCCACCTTCGTCACAGGTGCTCACTGACTGCTGTGGTGTATCTTTTATCAGCTGTCAGATCTGATAGATCTATCAGACTAAAGAATAAATTAAAATGTATGATTTAATGATGTAAAGATTTAATGATGTACATAAATAACACTTGCTGTTATCTATCCATTTCTGTGTCTGTCCTTTTAGGTGAGTGTTGTCCAGGACTCTGTGAACATTTCGGGTCAGTCCAACATGAACATGCTGAAGGTGCCGGAGTGCCAGCTGTCTGATGACCTGGGAAACCTGTGGGAGTGCTCCCGCTTCACCGACTGCAGCCTCTACGTCGGAGGGCAGGAGTTCAAGGCCCACAAGTCCATCCTGGCAGGTCAGAGCCTCCTCTGCTCTCCTACTGCTCATGCTCTCTGCAAACTGCAGTCATCAGAAAGTGCTTAGAAAGACGTGGGGCTCACTGAGGGCTGAGTTGAGAGAGAGTTGTAGACAATTCAGCAACTTTATAGAACAGGCTAAAACCTGACACTAAAAACTTTGCATAAAGACATTAGTTTAAACAGGTGAAATGAATAAAGCGTGATTATGTCAAATAAAGCACATCTAGTTGAAACACGGCCTTTTACTACCAACACTTTATCCACTTCAGACCCTAAAGCACTGACAAATATTTATTTATTTATTTTAAATAACTACCGGTAAATGAATATGGCCACCCCACCTTAAGATTCAGATTTCATGTGATCTCTAAAGCTAGGCGGAGTTGGGCTTTGTTGGTGCTTAGATGGGAGACCACTGGGAATACCAGATGTCAGAGTGGGGCAGCAATGGCTTTAGTCTGGGGCATACTTACTGTTGTTATTGTGTCTTTAAGCAAGATACTTCACCGACCTTGCTTATTTATGTGTGATGTGTGACTGATCGGTGATGGTCAGAAGCACAAATTGCCGGTCTTGCTTCTGTCACTGTAACACAGAGCAACTGTGGCTAAAGAAGTGTACATGTAAAGATAATTTATTATTGTTAAATTGGGTGTATTTCTATAGTATTTTGGCTTTGAATAGTGCTTATTACAAGATTTTATTTGAAATGTCAATACAAATTTTTTCCCAAAATGTAACTTGCGCAAACCTTTGGTGTGCAAGTTACATTTCCTTCCCTCAAATTTTGTGGTGGGCACTAATCCACCTGCTAGCACCGCTTGGCCCTACTTGACCCAGATCTCTGTGGCTCTGCTAAACTGAGGGGCTAGCTCTTTTTCAGCTTATCTGCACTAAAGGAGGTGGAGGCAGTTGCACCATCAGAGGCAAACAATAAATGTGGAAGTAACAGATCATTTCTAACTGTGCTTGACTTTGGTGGTTTCCTTGAGGTCCACTGTACAGTGAAATTATGTACTAATGTGTATATAAGCGTTACTGATTTATTTTATTTTTTCTTGTCAACAGCAAGGTCCCCCGTCTTCAATGCAATGTTTGAACATGAAATGGAGGAAAGTAAAAAGGTAATTAACAATTTCATGGCCGCTCGACTGTGGAAAATAATTGAAATCGTGATTATTTGAAGCAATAGAATGTGCTCTCAAAGGTTTTCCTGTACAGGCTTTGTGATGTTTTACTCTAGATTCAGCATTTTTAAAATAATTGTTTAGTCATACTTGTAATCATATCTTTGCCTTATTTGTCTATGCAAATATGTCAACTGAAATTCAACATTCATTTGAACATAATTTAGTCTTTTTAAAACCACCTTTTTTACTTTCAGAATCGTGTTGACATTAGCGACGTGGACCCGGAAGTTTTCAAGGAGATGATGGGGTTCATTTACACAGGAAAAGCCCCAAACCTGGAGAAAATGGCCGACAACCTGCTGGCAGCTGCAGACAAAGTGAGCCCACTCCCCCCCACACACACTTTTTCCTACTGCTTTGTACTTAGTTGCAATTATTTTAAAAAATCACAAAAAAACACACAGGTATTTTTAATGCATCTGAGAGCTGTAGTGCAACTATTTCCTTAAAATGATTTACTTATCAAAAATATTATGTTTATGCTTGTATTGTGCGTTTGTGTCTTAGCATCAAATACATTTATTCCTGCTGCGGCACATTTATTTGTATGTAACTGAAGTTTAATGAAATATTTAATCCTTCATCGTGGATGTCTTTGTAATCTGCTAAATCCTTTTGAGGCTTGTCTTACTTGCATCAATATGAGTAACCACACAGCACTGATATGAATGTACTGGGAGCTTTATTTATTATCCCTTTGTTTTATTGTACGGAAAAGCACTATTGTTTGTCCTTGGTTTGAGACCGAAGTTTAGTTTATATGTAGGGATGTCTGGATTATTTGGTTAATCTCAATTATTCGGGTTACAATGTAATCGTAAGGACTAAATAGTAACAATTTTAGAAGCAAAACAATTTCAATAGATTCTAGACTCCAAAAAGGAAACCTACAATTTAAAGTGTTTTTGTATCGTGATATCCATACTTGCTTGTAGTTTTTAATATTAACGGTGCACAGGAAGTTTCCTGGTGGAGGAGCCACCATCTACGGTCTCCATGAGCTTGTTATTGCTTATATATTCCATAGCATTTCTTATTCTATTAAGAGTATCTTTATTGCATCTATTTCGTTGAAAAAAACATGCATTCTGCTCTTCACAAATGTGACCTGTAAAATTGGCCTGGGCTCATCAACTGTTTCTCTTTTTTGAGATGCCATACTGTAAAACATTTTTGGCAAAAGCAATTACATCGCCATGGAGACAAAGCAGGTGGTGGACCCTCTACCAGGAAAAGTGACATAGTTTACCTCAAACAGAAAATTCAAAAGACATTGCTCATCTCTAAAAGGCTGTATTTTGTCCCACCGCTCTTTCCATGCAGTACGCTCTGGAGCGTTTAAAGGTCATGTGTGAAGAGGCCCTCTGTAACAGCCTCTCTGTGGAGAACGTGGCCGACACCCTCATCCTCGCAGACTTGCACAGCGCAGAGCAGCTCAAAGCACAAGCCATAGATTTTATCAACAGGCAAGTATCGCAACGAATAAAAAAAAAAAAAAAACCTCCAGTGATAAATTTGTGCTGCCATTTCTGTTTACCAGCCCTGAATGCTTACCTTTTTATCTTCCTTGCCATAGGTGCAGTGTCCTGAGACAACTGGGCTGTAAAGATGGAAAGAACTGGAATAGCAAGTATGTAATTAGCTGATATATGTGACACAAGATTAATACCACGCTCTTATCTCTTCCACAAGCAGATGCATTAGAATTCATTGTTTTAGCCTAGGCCGACAGAGTGCTATTTGCCTTCTCAGTTTGAAGCTCCATATCTGTGTATCCCTGTTATTAATAGACTTACCTGAATAAATAGTGAAAAGGGAATATTTGAGAAATCTTAAGCAGAGACTTTGTGGATGTTATGAGAAGTTTTTCTTTAAGGAGAATGAGATATAGTACAACCTCCCTTATGGCTGCCCGGTTATGGGATTAAATATTAATCTATTGAAATTGACATTATTCAGACTATTATTTATTGATCAAATTATGATTATTTTGATTATTTTAGTGAAACACAAAGAAATTTTATGTAGTGTTCTTTTTTTTTTAACTAATATAATCTGCCCCCTTCCCAAAAAAGCAAAATTGTTCATTATTTGCATTTGTATTAGGTACAAAATAGCTTCTGAGTCGTGACCCACTATATTTGCATTGTCATTACAATCCCATTTGAGCTGATTGATTTTTAATGTGCACTTCCAAACTTTGAGCGCTGATATAATTGTGTTTGTGTGTATGTGCTTACAGTCATGCTACAGACATAATGGAGACTGCCGGCTGGAAGTCAATGATCCAGTCCCACCCTCACTTGGTCGCTGAGGCTTTCCGAGCTTTGGCGTCCGCACAGTGCCCACCCTTTGGTCTTCCACGGAAACGCCTAAAACAGTCCTGACCGGCTGGGATGTCTGTGGAGGTGTGAGTGTAGGGTTTACAGAGAATGGACTCTCGAGGGCGCCACTCACTTCCACTAAACTGAACACACTTGAATAGGACAGGAGAGTGGCGCTTACTGGCCCGGCATGTGTGGAGGCTGGCACGTAGAAGAAGGACAACAGAATGGAAAAACGTTAGACTCAGTGTTGCTGACTTGCTTTGCTGCCTCAGCTGAACCACTTTCAGCTCATATGGAAGCAAGGCAAGTGTCTGCTGCTGTTTTTTCCTGTGATTTTGATAATGGCCTTAATATATCTGCCATTGCTCTGGAGCTGCTCTAGAGTACTTTGTCTTTACGCTGTGCCTGCCTTGTCACACAGACCAGGCCTCCTCCAGGTTGCACTAGTTCCCATGAATAGTCATTTTGATATGGAGTTCTATAGGAACGTAACAAAGGTTTAACTAAATGGGAAATATTATATATTTGTAATGTTTAGCCCGTTTTGTGACTAGACATTCAAGAGCATGAACACTTTCAGTGCAAGGTCAGTTCTTTACACTTTTTAAATATGCGTATGCCCCATATTGATGGCACCATTTCTATGTAAATGACAGCTGAAACATCTTAAGACCAGTAAATAAGAAAGTCTGCTCTTTGGCATAGTTTCGAGGAAAGCGTTCTCTGCCATTTCAAGACCCAGTGATGTTAAATGCACCGGTGTCTATGGCCCGATCAAATGGTAACATTGGAACAAGTATATGAAAATATTTAGTCAGTCTCCCATTTGAATATCCAGATCATATGTCTGTGAACTGTTTAGAGAAAATCTTGAATTTCTTTTCTTAGTATTGCCAACTTGCAAATATTATATATTCTCAATATATTGTGGTTAACTAAAAGTGGCAAGACTAATGCATGGTCATGTTATTGTCAAAGAAAGTGTCCAAGTACCAATTTTGTTTTAACAATTTCTTGTCAGAATTCTCTGAACTACTTAATTGAATTGAGTATGTGCAAAACTCCTAACATGCTTGGATATTTGTAGGATGCTGAGCATCAGTCTACTGGCGATGTTGTTGTGTCTGAATGGGGGTTGTCACGTTCTTCAGTCCGTCTTGTATGTGGCGTGGTGTGACTGGCACTTCCAAGGATTTTGTAAAATACAGAGTAGCATCATTTTTACATGATCTTACTCACCATGCAGTGTCATGTTGAGACATCTTTTGTTTTTTTTCAAAGCAAAAAAGATGAAGTTGTTGTCTGCAAGAATGCCCGCATTAACCCATTAAAACCTTTTCCAGCACCGAGGCTGCTTGTTTCTTGATTGGATCAGGGGGCCTGTCATAGTCCATGTTCAAGAGTCTCCTTGTGTAACATGTCTCAAGTTATTTCTGTAGATCAGTGGTTATGAATTTTTTCCACACCTGTGAAAATATCTGTCCTTCAGAGTACCACCTTTATGGGATCTATAATAGGACTAATCCAGGCCAAAACTGTATTCTAAAATAGGACTACATACTACAGTATTTCTAAGCAAGACACTACCAAAATAGTTGATACAATTGGAAAAAAAGACCTTGTGTCCAACCAAAAGGAGCTTGCACACCACCAGTGGTACTGACCAGAGTCAGAGAACCACTGCTGTTAATAGTTGCATAAATATAGGTACATTTTTAAGTTTCAGATATTTTAGCTTTATTGTTTCAAAAGCAAAATCTGTGCATCAGTTTTAATTAAAGATGAGTCTACTCTGCCTGGTCCTTTGGCTGACGCTGGTCCTCATGCCATTGTTCCAAACACTCTGGAGAAGCCGTTACAATCTCTCCTCTCCCCAGTCCTTTATCTCACTCTCTCTCCCACTCTAAACTTCAGCACTTCGAAGCAATATCTGCACTTCTATCATTACAATCCCAACTATTGTTTTACTGTGGGCTGAACAAAACGAGATTAAGGAGAGTGCCCAAATGATTAGGGCAATTTTAGTCTAAACTATTATAGCATTTTGCTACCTAACAATACACTGCTGCATTTGTAAGAGAACTACACTGCTTAGGCTGTCTTAAATCCTTTGTAAAATGAGACAGATTTGGGTTGCTTTTAATCTGTAATGATACACCCAGAAGGTGTTATTACATGGAGATACACATTTAAGCTCAGTGCATTTTAAACAGGGCAGATCCCTTTCTTTCTCTGATTGCACATTGACAAACTCGGCGAAGGGCTGTGAACCTGTCATATCCAGCTGTGAAACCATTGTTGTAGCGAACAAGGCGGTATAAAGACATCTGATGAACGCATTCAAAAGCACTGTGTTTTGGTGCGATTAATTGGCACAAGATTATGGCAACTCATGATGGAGCTCCTACAACAAGCATGCAGAAATGTTTTACGTGTGGCCTATTGATGAAACACAGTGAATTGAAGCTTGGCAATTAATCAGATTTATCACATTTTAACTGAGAGTTCGTCATGTACCATCAATGATATGGTTGTATTTTTTTTCTGGGGGTCTGCAACCAGTTCTGTCAGTAAAAAATATGGCTTGACAAATAAGAAATTTCTGTATTAAAGCTGAATTGCTCAACTTTTTTTTTTGGTGTAAAATCTGCTTTCTTCCCAGCAAGTACTGTAAAAGCAAAATTTTGTAACCAAATTCAGGCTAGTAGTTGCTGCCTTCATCTAATTAAGAAACAATCTTGAGCCATGTGAATTTGGGATGAGAGCTGATTGGCTGTCCTTTGGTGGTCCAACTTGCTTCACTTCTCTGTTTGAAAAAGCTATTAAAAGTTGTGCTACTGGCCAAATCATTTTTGCATGTGAATGCAAGAGGTTTTTGAGTGCCAGGGACTAGTCAGATTGATTTAAATACATATATTATTTTTTCACAGTTTTAAAGAGATACCCTGGCTTTTAAAAGCATGGTTTAAAATGTTCTTTAAGGTCTTTTTTTAAGAGAGACAAAGAAAAGAAAAAACAAAAAATTTAAGTCAAGCTTGAATTACATGAGGGGGAAAAAAAGCATTGATAATTTTTTTGTCATACCACTCAGCCCTACAGTGTATTGATTTACTTATTAAAATTGAGAAACGCGTTGTCAACATTGTGCTTGTTTGCATAGAGTTATTAGAATGTGTAGGAGAGGAGCATTGCGCGTCTTGTCTTGATGCCGAAGGAGTCTCTTGTCTGATCAGATAAGAGTAATGGAAGCGAATAGAACGACCGCTGTCCCTGATGGCCACTGCAAAATGGATGTGCTCTCCTAAGTCCACCTCTGCTATCATCCTCGCCTGGAGACAAAGATGTATTGGCCATTAAAAAGCTACGGCGAAACGTAACTCTTAAAATGGTTGTTTATCCTGGTGTGCGTGTGTGTATTCGCAGGTAGAGGCAACGCAAGCAATACAGACAGGATAAGATGACGAAACCCAGTTCAAATAAGTTTAATGCATTAAAAACCTAAATTCATCTTTACAATTTTAACAAAATCAGTTTCTTTTTTGAAACCGTCCAGAGTTAAGTTTTGCACACAACTTTTTACAAGAAAAAATGAAAGCAAATAAAAAAAGAGGCAGGGGTAACAAATTGTTCTATAGGTGTATGGTATGTATTAACAAACTATTGACACATCTTTTCTGGAAAATGAGACTGACATCATTTCAAGTAAGCCAAGTTAACACTGTACTGATTTACACATTTATACACAGCATTTTTGCACAAACTAAATTATCAACATAGATGATTCAGAGTTATCTTACACATCCCACCCCGGTGTGCCCCATAGTTTGAACATTTACAGCTCATGGGTGATTTAACACTGTAAAAAGAAAGAGGTAATTGCAGTGCAGTTTGTCAGTAGCACATGCACTATAGCTTCAGATACAGATGGTTTAATTACACGCCTAGGTACTTCCAGTAGTTCATGTTTTATAGTAACGGAAGCAGTTTGATTGATGGCTGATTGCTATGTCAAAGCACAATGCACTATTTATTTAGAATTATAATGACAAATTTGAATATTGTGGAAATCTTTTTTAGTTATGTAAAGGTGCACTATGTAACTTTTTTGTTGAAAGGTCTGTCACCTACTTGTCTCCATGTCATTGCTTTGCCTGGAATGTTCCACTGTATTGCCTCAAGTGCCTATTTTGCATTATTAAAATTACAAACTGTGGCACACTTTAGGCAAAGCAATAACATATTCATGGATACAACTGAAAAAGTTACATAATGTACCTTAATAAGTTTTTGTGTATGGTGAATGTCTGACTTTATATCCCTAAACATTGTCACGGCAGGTTGTATCCTGGGCAAGAGAGATCACTACGTAACTGAGAGGTGTCCTTGGGCAAACATTTTAGTCCATTTTGCCACCTTGCTTAGTTGCAAAAATTAGAGGGGCCATTGTTGCAGATTGGCAGCCAACAGTCAAGCCCAGGGCAACTGTGACCACAAAGAAAGTGGGTGTCCCAAGTAGGCCAATGCATTAGTGAATTAGATAATTATTCTTCAATATAACATTATTTGAATGGCTGTAGAAGTGAATAGTTTTCCTGTGTCTGTGTCCTGGCTAAGCTGCAAGAATAGACTCCAGTGACTTGTGAGTGCAACTTCTATGGGAATAACATAATGACTTTTCCACAATATTCAAACTCATTCATTTGAACCTTTATGAAAACTCCACTCTCAACTTTGCACACAAAACTCGTCGGTGAATGCTATACAAGTGGGAGACATCTGACATTTTGAATTTTAGTCCCATTTCTCATTAAAATTCAGGATGGATTCTGTACTTGTGCGTTTGGAGTTTCTGGGTAAATGAAATTTCCCAGCCTAATTAAAGCCTATTAAAGACAGGTAATGTCATGGCTGGTGGCAGGAGCATGACAAAGTGCTGATAATTGTCTGCCAGAGTCACTAAATCCTCCTGTCCTGTAATTATACAATCTCCCCTCGGCTGCTCCCCCTCGACACCTCAATCCACTGCGCCTGAGCCATACACGATACTCTGATGATGCCTTCAAGTGCTGTGGGAGAATACGTCTAACTTGGACTTCAGAGTGCATTTGAGGAATGTAGGTGCACAAAAGTGAGTTATATTATGCAGGTACTAAAACTGTACTTTTAAGAGTTATTTTATTGTTGCCTGGCAGGTCCAGACTCATCTCTACCTTTATTTTTTATACAGAGGAATAGTAGTCTGGTCACCACTGTCTCCATACTCAGTCATTTAAAATATTTATAATAAATCTAGAAAAAAATGACCAATTTTACATTATTTAAACATTTGCTTTTTGTGCAACTTGCAATCTAATATATGTTCTTTACCAGAATTTGTGCATTGTAAAATCTTGATAATTTTTTGTCTGTCAGCAGTACTTTTACAAAATATCGTTTATTTATTTATCTTATTGGGTAACTACATAAAAGTGTGTACTTTTTTTTGAGTTACTGAAGAAATAATAGACTTAAATATCTATACTGTCTCCTTTTGTAATGAGTATTGCATTTAATTTGACTAATTGCTTGATTCATGGTCACTTTATTATTTGCAGTCAATCAAAGCTATTTCCTTTTGAGATGTAAGATTTGAAAGGTAATTATAAGTCAGATTAAGCAATGCAGCGTAACCTGTAATATTCAATCAATCACGCTAATTTGAAATAATAGTAGCTGTCTATCATTGTAGTGTTACCACGTACAAATTATGCTATGACTAGAGCATTGGACCATCCATCAACATCGCCGTCGCGCAGTTGAACATTTATGTAATTTGTCTGTCTAGAAGTCTTTTACTGTCCAACCCGGTTCAGATGAAGTGAATATACAGTATTACGTTTTTGCTGAGATCCAAGTGATGCACCATTTGGGAGACACTGCCTGTGGTCTCGCCTTGAAGAAAACATCTGGACAAGATACTAATTAGTGATTGGTTTACACTGAACATGTGCATTGTGGTGAAATCACACAGTGCGGCACAAGCTTTAGCTTCAAATCCCAAGTCAACTCCTCTTTGACCTATTCCTTGAACTTCATCTTTACAATACACAGCTGGTATACACTTTTCCAATGTTATTCCAAGTCCATAATTTCCTCTTTAATGGTGCAGTATGTAACTTTTCTTTTCCTTTGAATATTCCACAGCATAGCATTAAACTTATCTGTGTTTATGTTGCTCAAACATACCTATGAGTGGGGTCACCTCTCCACAGATCTAACCTGTAATTTGGCCCGTTGTTATTACCTGTTTGGCTTCATGGAAAGATCAGTTTAATACCATACGGTGTGGGGTGCATCTAGGCAAAGCAATCCTCCAGAAAAGTTATACATTGCACCTTTAAGTTTGCAGGGAGATTTATGTTACAATTTGCCAAGTATTTGTTGAGATGTTGTCTATTTTAGGCGCTCTGTCATCCTGTGGAGGAGTAGGGCGTGTCGCTATGGTAATTGTAGTCAGGGCAAACCTTCTGAACCAGTTTGTAGTCCACGCTGTAGAAGGCTATATAGATGCATATGACTTTGAAGGGCTTAGAGCACAGCCAGGACACATGGCTTTGGGTCTGCTCCTGATAACACACTTTGGAGGGGTCAAAATTGCACAGGGCAGTCTTCTTGTTGCGGTCCGTTTTCTCATACTCGATGCGACAGTTGAAAGATTTCGTGTCCTTTTGCTCCAGAGTGGACTGTTGCGCGATTTCAAACTCAACTACTTTCGAAGGAGGGACCAAACTAACTGAAACATTACCCAAACCAGTTGAATTATGCCGAAAATAGACGCTAAAAGTCCCATTTCCGTGATCCACTATTTTCCCAGTGATGAGCAAGTTGAGTTTGACAGTTTTGATGTTGGAATGGAAGTCACCCCATCCGAACATCTTCTTAAATTTTCCGGTTTTGACGATTGGCCGGCGTTTGGAGCGGGCCTGTACAGCTTGGGTATCTGTCTGATTAGATAACCAGTCCCAGAAGTCCTCTATGTTCTGTAAATAAGTCATCTCCCTCATGTTGCTTTTGAGCCCTGGGGAGGTGCGCGCAAACAGACGGAGGGGGTTCAGGAGGCGGGGACTGGCACCCGTGGGAGACATCTTCTGCTCACTGTCGCCGAACTCAATCAGCTGCGTGACTCCACCGCCGTGCACTTTTTTGCATGTGATCTATGGGAAGAAAGAGAAAGATTTAGTTAAACAAATATTTTATTTTATTTTTTAAACCTAGGGACAATGTATCAACAATATATTCACCTTTTGTCTTTATATATTACAGAATATGTTATAGCCCCTCATTATACATAACAGTAACATAGTCCTAGCCGCCTACTATACAAAAGTCCATGTCCATGTATTAGGTTAGGTTGCTCTTTTTTTTTTCTTTTTTTAATTTAATTTCATTCATAAAGTATAAAAAGACATCAACAGGCTCACAACCTCAAACATACAAGAAATGAATGAAAAGGAGCAGAAAGAAGAGAAATCTTATGTTATCTGTCCTCTTTTCCCTTTTCAAGACAATACAACAACAAGGTCCCACATTTCACATTTCATTCATTCATCCACATTATGTCCAGTAACATGTATAAAAACAATTATAAAATAAAGTTTCATAGTGCTCCAGTGCAGAATGGTTTGTTCCATAAACAATTAGTTAAATTCATCCATCACGCTTGGCTAAAATCACAATAATTATTAAACATATATAAAAACACATGATTTTTTTCAAGACAAGATTATATGTGTATTGCTGAGTCTCTTAATAGTTATTTATCTTGATTGTACTTCCTATTCTCCTGCTGTTACAACACAATAATTTTGGGACAAATCAAGTTTTATCTTATCTTAGGTGACTGTGGAATAATGCCGGATATAGGTGTGCATTAAAAAAGACGGGAAACTATTTTGTATTACTATAGACATGACAGTACATTTGCACCCTCCCGGCTGCTGCAGTGTATCAGTTACTGCGAGTTGAATTGCCTATTACTGGACGTGGAATGACACAGTAGAGTAATACATGTAGGTCTTGATTGGTTTAACTGTAGGGGGGTGTCAGATCTTTTTCTTGTGACCCACTTTTTCAGAAATAACCTTTATGCATATTTCAGTTGGTTTCACAGTTTTAATAATTATCGTATGAAGGGCTCAAATAATGTCAGTTATGAAGCTGTAGTGAACCTTGGTGTGACCTACTTTGGAGCCCTGACCTGCCATCTAACAATCTCAGCAATCGTGACTATTTAAAACACTAAAATGCTCATATTTTCTCTGCTTATTTATAATATTTATATAGAGATTTTAATTCATTGCATATTTAATGTAATAGCCAATTTGGCAAAAGCTCTGTTGAGGGGCAGAGTTGACATGGCTCAGACTGTGTACTTGAGCAAATACTATGAAAATAAGCTTGAATATGAGCCTGTATAAATAGCGATAAGTGAAGTGATATTGTAATTGTAATTTTATTTTTAATATGAAATTAAAAGTTGCATAGCTTCACAACTTATCCATCTATCATTCTAGCTCGCTCCTCGACGTTAAAGTGTGTAATTGTGCATCTCTGGTAAGTTTCACCTGTCAGATTACATAATGAAAACCCTTAGTCTTGGGCACAACCACATGTAACATTATTAGAGGCTTTAGTAACTTGTAATGACTTTACATTAAACCAGTGTTCAGTGAGGGTGAAAGCTAATCCAGTCAGTGCCCCTTAAAGCCCTTTTGGCTTCAGGAGCTAGTCCACTTCAGATGGAGTTTAATAATTCACCACGATGAGCTTAGACACTTTTATTAGTAATTAGTAGAGCTGGCATTTCCTCGGGCCTGGTTGTAGGATCAGGCGGAGACGCAGATGTTGAAAGTATGTGTTGGAGTTTGCAGTGAGCAGCAGAATTAGCAGACCAATTATAATTTTGCTCTAAGCTTTTGAGAGCAGCTAACAAACTAGCGGTGTCTGACACAATTTGTTTTGCAGTTACATTACACCAGCTCGCATTCCCATAAAGCTTTTTCATTACAGGTTTACAAGCGCTATAGAGATTTAATATGGTGTGACAAATGTAGCAGCACCTCAGTGAAGAAACAGCAAATGTCAGCTATTTCATATGGACTCAATTGTTCTCATAGACAGTGACAGACAGTGGGTGATTTGCTGTCTGGTATATGAGAGTTGCATAATAGCACGTTGTCATGTTTGGAGAAAAATAAATTCAAGTTTGTGTGTTGTTATAGGCATTCAACTTCAGGATTTGGGTAGTTGCTTGCATGTTCATGGTTCACTCCTATTGGCTGTTGGTCAACTTGTCAACAATCAAACACGGTGCAAAGGAAATAAAATATAAATGTATACAATGTAAAGAAAATATATATATTGGTAGTAATATCCATGCAATATCAGTCTAAAAAATGTTAAAAGTTGTAAAAGTACAGGTGGAGAGAATTACAGATCACACTTACTCCATACACAATAAAAAAAAATATGTCTTTCAAGGTATATTTGCAATAAAAAAAACAGTAATTGAAGAAATTAAAGGTCAGTTTAAAGTCATACTGTGGAATATTCCAGGTAAAACAATACCTCTCATCAGCAAAGTGCACTTTAAAGTTGATTAACATTAATTCCCAGTTCGCACAGTGTTGTCTTAGCTTTGATTACTATAGGCTACTTAATACACATGTTCCAGTGTATAGTATGTGTTAATTTGATTTCACTGCCATAACTTTAATACCAAAATACCCCTCTCCCCCTCGCTCCTCTTCTCTCCCCTAAAGCTCCATGTTCTCTACATGTGCTGTCATCCCGCGCAGCTTCACAGGAGCAAAGCCCCGGTGCTCGGGCTCGTCTCCTCTGAGCGGATCTCAGGTGAGCCTAGCATGTAGCGATTGTCATGGAAATGAGAAGTTTAAGCATGATGAGCAACTGGGGAAATCGCCGTGACAACAAGGGGCTCATACAGGGATCTAATACAACGCACTGGGGACTTGAAAGCTCCGACTGGCAAAACGACTTTAGCTGCTTAGAGTACTGTTTCTGTGTCTTACTAATATGCTAAAGAGTACTTACATTTTGTACTCTTATATTAACATACACTAACATCACTATTCAAACTATCATTTATTATCATTTCTAAAAGCTACTGTAGATGAGTGAGGAAGACTGGGCAAGAAAGAGGGGTCATTCCATTTATAGTAGCATAAATTAACTGTTGTTTTTTTCACTTACACTATATTTGTATTGAGGCAGTACTTGGAATAACAAATAGAATCTGATTAATTGCACAGCCCTACTCTAAATACATTTCCAAGTGAGTAAACAACTCAAGATAAGTGTAGTGTTTTTTCACTGTCAATGGGTGTAATTATGCCAGACCTCCAGATCTTCTTGGCATTCGGTACTATGGCCTGAAAGCGTTGTTGGATACGAGAGTATAGGGTGAAATGGGGGTGAAGAGCACGGAGGGCATTAAAAAAAATTCATCAGTGAGGAAATTGTTCTCACAGCACTGAGAGCCTGGCATATGTGCTCCAGCTCATAGAACACTCGTCTAGGTGCAGCACGCTCTAAAAATGATTTAATAGTATTTTAAACTTACAAATACATATAGGGTTGCGTATTAATAAAGTCTATAGAGTTGGCAATGAAATTCCAACTCCAAGAAACAAGGTAAGAACCAGAAACAGTTAACATAAAATATTTTGGTGAAGTGAAATTTGAGATTTAAAGGTTCTATATTATGCAAATTGACTCTTGTGAGCTTTAAGTCATGTTACCATGTTGTTACCACCTCAAAAACATACTTGTTGTAGTTGTAGTTGTGGTTTATTTCATTGGCACATTTGAGTAAACCTGGTTTATTAGTCTGTCTACATCTCTGAAGCTCAAAATGTAAAATGATAAGAAAACAACATTGTAATATAGATCAGAAAATAGCATAATACATTTCATATATTATGAAGTCAGGAAAATCAAAGTAATATAAAATAATAATAGATACAACCAATGTAAAACTATCAGTAAATAAATAAAGCATTACAGATATACAGATATAACAAAGTATCACAGATTAACCACAAAATCTTCAGGAAATTTAGTCCCTTGTAATATATGTCTTATGTACAGATTATTCAAATATATTGTATGTTTATATACAGGAAGCTGGAGAAGTGTGTAGCTCCAAAACCAGTGAGTTTGGTAAGACAGTGTGTGGAGAAATGAGGCAAGGTCTGATGAAGGAGAATCTACAAAAGCTTAATTAAGATTTCCTAATCGCGCGGCTGCTGCACTGGAGGCGTTTCAGGCTGACTTGAAACAAGACATTATTATGATAATAAGTGCAGACTTATAGAGCTCATTCCAGCAGAGCCAGGCACAGGGGCCAGTGTTGCACCAGTCGGGTGAGTTTCCTCTCCTCTAAGTCCAACATGAAAATATCCCACAGCACTGCCCCACATGTTTACAGTAAAGCAGGGGTTCTCAAACTGCCCTGGAAACACTGGTAGCATGTCTCGGCTGGCTTTTAATTAGCGCTGCACGATTATTCGCAATTAAAACTAAATTGCAATTTGAAAAACGCAATTAGCAAAGGCGAAAATTTTTCACATAAAATGAATTACAACAAAATATCCTGTCTTATTCTGGAAAAATGGTAACCCTGTAGTTCAGAACTGTTCTGAAATGTGAACTTTGAACAGAATCCTATTGTCAAAAAAATAAATCACTGATGTAATAACAATCAGAACGCTTGTCAAAAAAAATTGCAATTACAATTCAGAAAGCGTTCAGCCTTACTTTCATTCTATATGTGTTAATGTGTTCTATCTGTGTTGATGTTTTGGGGATGTTAATCTATGACTGGAGCTGAAAGACTGAAACATTATGCAGTTGAATTCTAATTTGTGATTTATGTTTAAAATTTTAATTCAGTTTCAGTGCATATTTGAATTACAAACTAGACACATTTCCGAACATGTTTGTAGAGATGTAAACTACAAATGTTTTATAAGACATGGATATGGATATACTGAAAGGGCTGGGTGAGAAAAAAAAAATCTGATTAATATGAAAAGGTAAAATATCCCAAACATTCCAGTAAAGTAGAGGTTCTCAAACTGTGGTACTAGACTGGTAACACTGATGGTACACATGATGTCTCAGCTAGTCTTTT